ACCCAGCATGTATCTTGAGTTTTTAAGATTTAGTTCAAGGACATGAAAGGCAAGAATCCAAAAACTGAAAGCCTAATACTGTCAAGAGAAGTGAGACAAATAAAATGTTAAGTGTTCAAAGAATGTGGAGAGAGAAGCTTAGGCTGGAAGGTAGGTCAGGTGGAGCATGAAACTGTCTTTGAATTACCTGATTGGATTCTCCACACAGTGTGTCCTTGTACCTCAGTACAGACTTGGCCCCTGCGCCCTCTGGCCATGTGCTAGGTTGGGGTCATAGGATGGTGAGCAGACTCACTCACTGACCTCAGCTGTTGCGTTTAAGTGGAACGTTTACTCATTTTCATCTAAAAAGGAGCAGTTTAACTGAGTGCCTGCTTAAGCCACTGTAGGCAGTTTGAAGGCAAAACCATGAATTGAATTTGTGTTCTTTTCCTATATCCTTGGATGATGGTAGGATGCTGACCCATTGAAGGGCAGGAGAGCTGTGAGGATTAACAAAAGATGAACTGTGACTCATATCTTCTTGGTTTCTGTTACTTTGTCCAGTGATGGCTAGATATGTTGGAAGATAAAACTATGACCTCTTAGCCATCTAGTAACAGTAGAGTCTAATAGATAGTGGCCACTTGTTTGTTAATGCCTTGTTACATAAACTTCTTCATTCGCTGTAGACAAGGTGTAGATCAGAAAGATGGGGATACGTACTACATGACATTAAATCCATAGTGGATCACTTGGGTCAGCCAAAGTCACTTCACCTGAGGCCTGCCATCTTCCCTAGCCACACTGCACTTAGCTGATGCCTTCTTTTTGGCTTGGAATTTGTTACCATAAAAATGATCTGAGTTGAAACCAATAAAAGGAGCTGGTCTCTTAGACAATAATAACGCATAATACTTTGGCCTTTAAATGTTGCAAAAGTTTACATGGCAAATTTAGTTAACTTTATGTCATTTTATTGTAGTGTATAAATGTAAAAGTTAATCTCACCAAGCAGTGGTGGTTCATGCCCTTATTCCCAGCACTCAGGAGGCAGGACCAGGTGGATCTACAGAGTGAGATCCAGGACAGCCAAGGTACACAAGACCTGTCTCAGAAAATAAGGTAATCTCTTTGTCAGCAAGACATAGGCTTTAATCTGAAATGGAATATGTTTTAGAGATCCTGTTATCCATTTGGAAGATAGTAAAACAAAAACTCACATTTAGGGCTGAAGAGATGGTTCACTGATTTAAAAAAAAAAAAAATAAATGTTGCTCCTGCAGAGGACCCAGGTTCAGTTCTCTGCACCCATGTGGAAGCTCACAACTGTCTGTAGCTCCAATCCCAGGAGCTGCAACTCCCCTTTCTAGCCTCCATGCATTTATGTGCATTCAGGCAAAACACCCACACATATAAAACAAATCATTTTCTGAAAAGAGAAGAGAAAAGGATGGCAAATCTCTCATTTATGTAACTTCATTCCTCTCAAAAATCTCTATCCAAATAGAAATTTAAGCTACCCTTGTGGTTTAGGCTCTCCTGGTCAAAACATTTTCTGCAGCAAGCGTGTTCCAACTTTTCCATTGGATTGTTTTTTGGGGTGACATAACACTTAGTTTTATCTGGGAGATAGATGAGCATTGCTAGGTTTATGTTCTTATTTTCAGCATCCCCAAATTGGTCACACTGAGGACCGTATGGGGAATGGTAATCGGGTCTTTTTGTTGGGACCGTCGGCTCCCCACTAATGACATGGAGACTTAATAATTATGAAAGCTTGGCTGATAGCTTAGGCTTGGTTCTAACTAGCTCTTTTAACGTAAATTAACCCATTTCTATTCATCTGTGTGCTGTCATGCAGCCCATGGCTTTTGCCTCTCGTCCTGTGTGTCTTGCTTCCTCTACATCATGCTGGCAACTCCACCCTTTTTCTTCCCAATGTCCTCTCTGCCCTAAAAACCCTGCCTTGCCATTGGCCGTTCATCTTTTTGTTCCACTAGCCAGGTGACACATCTTCACAGTGTACAAAAAGATTATTTCATGACAGAACTGATTCAGAACTCCATAGTACAGTCCTGAGGAGTGGTGGAGGTGAGTGCTGCACACAAGGCCCCAACACTATGCAGAGCCAAAGTTTCCGGTTCCCTCTGGGTGCCGACTGTGGGGTCCTTTGACTTGGAAGTTTAGTTGTTTCTTGGAAATTGAGCTTTTTAATTTTGTCAGCTTTTTTTTTGTCCTTGTGTGGAAAAATATTCAAATGATGTTGCCCAAAGCACTCACAGAGACACAGCATGGTGACTTCTGGGAAACTGGTAAGCAGGCAAGCTATTTTTAGCTTTTACTCCTTCCTTGCAAACATATCCTTTTGTTCTTCAGGGAGCATTGTTTATCTGTTCATTCACTGGCAATGTTCTGCCCGCTACAGTAGCCTTGGGTAGAATAAGCCCTCTCTTGTCCACTCTGGTGACATAACTGTGTTGACTCTTATTGGTCCAGTTTTAGCTCTAACTCATGAATTACTCATCTGTTCATGTGTTTTCCTGGATATTGAGCAGACCTCTATATATGTGTATGTGTCTGTCTGTCTGTCTGTCTGTGTATGTGTGTCTGACTATAGATCTTTTCCCGAAGCTATGCACCTGCAAATACTGACTTAGAAATCTTCATATAAGCAAGATTTACAAAGCTTCTAATTTTGTCCTGTGTGGTGGTAGCTGATGGCATGATTTTCCATTGTTAGTATCTACTTAAATGCTAGAACCATGAAGTTAGCATCTCTGATTCAGGAGAGACAGTTGCCAAGCTTTTTCTTGTGTATCTCAGCCTCCTGTTCAGTCTTTGAGAGATCTTCCAGTCTTAGGAGGAACTCCTTTCTACCATATTCAAATAGCACTTTAATTCTTCACATAAAGGAGGAGTTTGGTAAAGGACCTTTATTTTATTTTCTTAAGATCCCCCTTTAAAAAGTTTAGTCATTTTTGAAGTATCATAATGTAACCCTTTTCTCTTTTTCTGTACAATAAAGATGCACTAAGATTTTAAATTATGGTGGGGGGGCCATCTGGTTCTAAGTCCTACTTCTGCTATTTTATCTGTCTATGCTTCAGTTTCTTATTTCACCAATAGAAATAATGGAACTTGCATCATACAATAATGGGGGGACATGTTGGGTAGAGATATGTGTGCATGTCCATGTGTGTGCTGATGTACATTTGTACACGTGGGTGTAGACGCCAGAGGTCAACCTCTGGTACTGTTCCTTAGTAGTTGTCCATCTTTTTTGAGACAGTTTCTCATTGCTACCTGAGACTCTCCAAGTAGGTTAGGCTAGCTGGCTAGCAAGACTCCTCTTTTTCCACCTCCCAAGTGCTGGGGTCACAAGTGTGAAGTGTGTGTGCCACCACACCTGCCGTTTTATCGATGCTGTCCATGCTGGTGGTCAAATTTAGGTTCTCATGTTTATGCAGCAGAAATTTTACCAACTGAGCTATCTCCTGAGCTTCTTGATTTAAATCATACTGTTCATGTAAGAGCCAGACATAATGCCTGGCTCAGGAAAGCCTCTGGGTACTGGTTGTTATAATACTTCTTTACATTGTTTCACCCATAATGTGGATGTAATCTTAAAATGTTACATTTCACCAGGCTTTGGTGGTCCACATCCTTAATCCCAGCACTCAGGAGGCAGAGGCAGGCGGATCTCTGGGAGTTCGATATCAGCCTGCTCTACAAGAGCCACAGAGAAACCCTATCTCAAAAAACAAAAAAAAAAAAAAAAAAAAATGACATTTCAGAATTCTGTTTCTAGGGATCTTTGCTTCTTTCCTTGTACAAATTTGGGGGGAGAGGATGTCCTCAACAGAAGTACCCTAATTCCGGTGCCTACTGTGTTTCCCTTGGATCTCCTGTCTTGCAGCTCTCCCTATCTGGAATCAGCACAGTTATGATGTGAAGTCAAGCAAAGCATATTTTTGCATAGAGAGGAAGGCAGAATGTGCCGTCATTTAGACATCTGTGCCTGTGCCCTGGGCCAAAAGCAGAATGTTTAGACTGCTGACTCGGCACCCCATCTGCTGCCTTCTCCGTGGCTAAGTCCTCTGCCTGTCCCCTCCATGTAGAGCCGCTGGGGGGGGGGTGATGAAACCTAGGAGAGTACCAAGGTGTGAGGACTGAGGCACAGGGAGACAGGAGGACCCCACCCAAACGCGACCGTGGGGTCAGCTCTAAGTCTTCTCTGTTGCTAACAGTTTGTTCTGTGTATGGTGTGATGATTAAAAAACATGAGCCTGGGGGGTTGGGGAGTGAAAGAAAAGCCACTAGCCTGTTACGAGGGATTGCTGTCTTTCCCTTGGGAGCTTTTACATCTGACTCAAGGATTTTTGAAACTCGGGATTTAGAACTCTTAGTGCAGGCCCCCTGAACGTCCTTTCTTCCCAGCAAAGAGGTTCTGAACTGTCAGTGTACTGACTGCTTGTGTTTCCTCCCTTTCTGCTCCCATTGACTCACGCACTTACAGGCATCCTTTCCAGGCCACTGGCTTCCTTTCTCTGCTTGATCTGAAAGGCCCAGCTCAGGCTTCCCACAGCACGGCTGTCTTAGGATGGCTGACACTTGCACATGCGCTCACAGGAGCGTGCGCTCACTCACACGCGCACACCCTCCGTCTATCCGTCTACAATGCTGTGACTTAACTCTAACTGATTTAAACTTGAGGAGTTGAGCAACGGTGGTGAAGGCCCAGAAAGGCATGTATTGAGTAAACAAGGGTAACCAACTGTGAGGAGGGAGGTGTTGGGAGAAACTTTATCTTAGGGGACTCGTTCCCCTTCTCCGCCAACCCCCAGCTGGAGTCAGCCTCACAGCCTCACATTCGGTAGACAACCCTCTGCTGCTGAGCTACGTACAACTCCAGCGCTTTGTTCTGATTCTGCCTTAAGTTTTGCTGGGTCTCAGTTATAACTCATTGCACGTCTAGTTTTACTCAGTGCTTTCAAAAACCTTTTATGTTTGCTTTCTAGACTGACTTTGCACGATTTAGTGGAACAAATGTGGAAACTGACTTTGTAGAGGTGCCGTCACAAATGCTTGAAAATTGGGTGTGGGACGTCGAGTCACTTCGGAAACTGTCAAGGCATTATAAGGATGGAAGTGTCATCACAGATGACCTGCTTGAGAAGCTGGTTGCTTCTAGACTGGTCAACACAGGTATGGAGACCCTGTGCAGAAGGAAAGCACGCTTTGGGATAGGAGTCCTTTGATGCACAACTCCTGGCCGCTCCTGCGTCAGGCTTCCTTTAGTAACATCCCCAGGAGTGCTGGAGTGTGGAGGGAGGGACACTGGAGTGTGCTGGGATGGAGACTGACGCCTGGGACTGTGTCCAAGGGAAAAGTCTCCTCCAGTCTTACGTGGTCGGGATGCCTTTTCACCTTGCTGCCCTTTTGTGATGAGTACGACGGCAATCAGTTTCCAAATCTCTGACCTGTGGTGTTAGAACACATCATTCTGTCCCCAACACATCACTCAAACACTCTCAACCTTATTAGGTCTCCTGACGCTTCGCCAAATTGTCTTGAGCAAAGTTGATCAGTCCCTCCATACCAATGCGTCTCTGGATGCTTCAAGTGAATATGCTAAATACTGCACAGAAATTCTCGGAGTTGCGGCTACGCCAGGTATGAAGCATCAGCACCTGAGTTCGTTTTTCCTGTGAAACCTCCCAGGCGGGTGGAGTTCCTCAAGCCTCATCTCATTCCTTTCTGCTCTCTGTAATGAGACCATGGCTTTCAGATAAGCACACTCTGCCTTAGGAGTTGTCCTGGCCAAATGTGCTTGGAGGGGAGGTGGCTCCAGAGTCACCACATTTCAGTGTAATCAGGCGTGAGCAATTGGCCTCCGCCCCAGAGCACAGCCATTCCCGTTTGGCAGCACCTGCCCATCTCCTCCCTCCCTGCGTGCACCAAGACTTCCCTGTGATTTTCGGTAAGACATGGGCACAAGGCATTTCAGAGAAAAGCAGGAACCCCTTCCCTTCTGATTCTGATGCCTGTTCAAGCTTTTGACTGGCAGCTTCTAACCCGATGTTTACGGTGTTTGTTAGAATATGAGTCTGAACTTGCATGTGTACTTTTTAAGCCACCTCATATGTATGCATTTGGATAGGGATTGCAAAGTGAACCTTTTCACCAAGGAAATTGTTGCTAAAATGAATCAGACACGGTTATGGAGGATAATAAGATAAGAGGGGCCCCTGACTCATCCAAGCCTCACTTCCTGATCTGCTGCTTGTAAACCAAGGAGCAACGTTGTATCTCATTGACAAAACTCTACTGAGGGCAGCCCTGTGTAGACTCACTTGGTATATCGTTTTTTCGACGCACTTTTCATTTTCAGTAATTATCAACCTACTCAAATACCATTCTATTTAGAGGCATCTTAGATATTAAGAAGTATGTCAGGGGCCTGGGTTTGTAGCTCAGCATTAGTGGGCTTGTCTAGCCTGTGCTAGGCTGGGCTTGATTCCAAGATCCTGGTTTGCAGGGGGAGGGAGGAGAGGGTGGCTTGAGCCAGTAAGTAAGGTTATCCATAGAGTATTTTAAAGGCACACTGGCATCTAAGGTCTGGCTTTCCCCTTTGAGCTAGGGTGTGTACAAAACTTCAGAAACTGTTGTTAGGCATTCCAGAGCTGGGCCTGAACTGATAGGAGAAGGGTTTGTAAACATCTTGGCCACAGGAACACACCAACTAGTGAGATGCTATCATTCACTCTCTGCTCGCAGCTGGGTTCCCCAAAGGCAAGCTACTAGCTCATAACCTGATTAATTAGCATTTGCCATCATACTGATAGAAATGTATCTTTTTTTAAGGCACAAATATGCCAGCTACTTTTGGACATTTGGCAGGAGGCTATGATGGCCAATATTATGGATATCTTTGGAGTGAAGTCTTTTCCATGGACATGTTTCACAGCTGTTTTAAAAGAGAAGGGATCATGAATCCAGAGGTAATCGTATGGCTTTCTTACCCCCTTGTGATAACAGTGGAGTTGCCCTCTCTCCCCTTGCTCCACGTGCAAAATACTTAAGAGTAGCTAGAGTTTTAAGTAGAAGACATGGCAGCAGCGTTTAACTTCTCAACTCATCACACATCATTAAGTTTCAGTGTACAAGTGATTAACTCTTAATTCTATAGGTTTAAAAAAACCTACTGCGCTTTCTTGCTTATTAACATTCCAGTATATTGCATAATTAAAAATTCAAAGCCTTGTTTATACACTTGAGAGTTATATCTACTAGTTTTGACATGTGCCATGCTGTGTTTCTGTTTTATAAGAGGTTGAGAAAGAAAGGTAAACTTGTCGGTGATGTAAATAGTCTCTGTGCTCTGACGCTCTTTACAGGGTTCTTTGTACATTTTCTGTGGGAGGCTCCCTTTTTCTGTGGCCAGCGTACTCCACCTACTCCAGAGTTTGTAACCTAAGTGCCTTTGGGGTAATTTAAGCTGCTTCATTAATCTGAGCCATTCCTTCCCATGCACAGTGAGGTGGCTGCCAGCCACGCCTTCCCGTTGCAGATCCCAGTCTCCCTGCTGGTCGGCAACTCCGCTGTCAATCATGTCTAAGGCTGGTGTATTTCCAGAGTGTTTCCAAGTTCTGTTTGGTTCAGAAATTAGAACAAAATACCCAAGTCAAAGTCTCAATGCTTATTTCAGTCAGCTAACTTGTTCTTTGGGCTTTTGTTTCTAGCCTAAGTTTCTAGCCCTTCTGCATGCACATTGAAATATATCGTATATTTTAGGCCCTCATTTCCTTCTTGTTTCTCCCTCCAGAAAACACCTCAAGGATAGCCATACTATTTATTATTCATTCCAAGCACTTTTTTCTCCCATCCTACCTCACCCAGCTGGTCTTTTTAAATGTCCTTCTATGACCGTACCCACCCAGTCACAAAGGTCTGATACTGACTCTCGTTAACAGTCTAACTTCTGCCTGACTTTCAGCCTGCATGCTGCCCTTACTTCCCTCCTCTCAAGCTGAGATGGTGCCCTCTCCAGGGTCTCCTTGAGAAGATAGTGTGAGTCCATTTACTTGCCCTACTGTTGAGTCCTGCTGGCTAACCCGAACTGGTCATTCAGTGTTACTCTGTGGTCCTCTATTGATTTCTTCCAGCCCCCTCATCCCCCACCCCCAGCCGCTCTGCAAATCCGCCCCTTCCTCTCTTCCCTGTTACCCCTATCCCCAGTCTCACTGTGTGAGGCAAGAAGGCATCAAACTCATGAACCTCTTGCCTCATCTTCTGTGGCTTTGAGGAATCCAGGCTTGTATCTCTGTACCCAATCCAAGCTTCCCCTCTGTTAAGAAAATTGAAAGAGGAATATGGCTCAGAAGTAAAGGGGTATTCTCTCAGCTCTGCCCGCCATCGTCCCTTTATTCTTTCTGTGCCTTCCACTTTAAATTTATGTCTTGTTTAAGCCAAGAGTGGTGGCACACGCCCGTAATCCCAGCACTGCAGAGGTAGAGGCAGGAGGGTCAGGAGTTCAAGGTCGTCTTTGGCTACTTAATGAGTTCAAGAACAGCCTGAGCCTCAAGAGACCTTGTTTTAAAAACAAAGTATGGCTTGTTTGTTTGTTTTAATCTGTGCCTCTCAAAAATCATACTGTTCTTTAGGATCCAACTTAAGAAGCCACTCATGGGGCTGGAGAGGCGTCTCAGTGGTTAAGAGCATGTGTTGCTCTTGTAGAGGACCCAGGTTTGTTCGCAGCGCCCACTTAAGGGCTCACAACTATCTGTAACTACAGTTCCAGGGACTCCAATGCCTTCTTCTGAGCTCTGCAAGCATCAGGTATGCATGGGATGCACACATCCATGCAAACGGGCAGAACACTCACATAAATAATCTGAAAATACTTTCTAAAACATTTGAACCCTTCCAACCAAAGTGACCTCCTGTCCACCTTCCTGACAAAATGGTGAACTTGGGCATATGGGAAAGGCTTATGCCTGGATTGTATGAAATAACTATTACATAAAATGAAAATATTCTTTGTAAAAGATCTTACACAATATTCTTAGAATATGGTTAGAACAAAAGCACACCAAAATGCTGGTGATGCTGGGTTGGGTGGTAGGGTTATAGAAGGTCTTACCATTTCTCTGTCCTTTGCATGGAAGTCTTCTTTCCTTTACATAGTTCACGAACTGAGGATACAGTAGGTTGTTGGGGGTATTTGGGGAAATTTGTTTAGTGTTTCTGAGACAGTTTTGCTGTGTAACCCCAGCCTCAAACAAATAGCAATTCTCCTGCCTCAGCTTCAGGAGGGCTGGGGTTACAAATGTGCACCACAAGCCCAGAAGAAACACTGTTTCAAGGAGAGGGAAGGTAGGTAGTCTGGGAAAGGTCCAAGAGTGTCTCCTTCCTGGCTGCTGTTGCTTGGACGGCTTCCAGGAGCAAGCGTACACTCCCTGAGTTGAGCCCGTCTGTACTTCCTCTCCTCTGGCTGCAGCTCAACCCCTCCACTCTTCTGGCCGTCAGAGCAGCAGTCACATTCGAGACCCCAGTGGGTCTCAGGCTGCTTGCACGTCCTGCAGAAGCAGGCCTGCCATCATGGCTCCCTGTGCTTCTCAGTCTAAGCTCTGTAGTTTGGCAGGCAGCCAGGCTGCTCTTCATTAGGTGAGGACAGGAGTGAACTTGGAGAAAAACGATCCCAGCAAGGCTGAGCTGTCTCCTTGGATGATAGGGAAACAGTCCAGCTGCGTTTCTGGACCCTGGCCGTACTGGGTGGGAGTCTACTTCTTGTGAAAGGAGGCTGCTTGAGTTTTCCCTTCTCCCTTCTTTTCCCTTTCCTGTCGCATGCTGTAAAGAACCTTCATTCATCACTGCCCTGCCATCACAAACCTGGCTCTGCAGAAGCCAAGAAGAGGCCCACACCCACCTTCCCACTCTTTCCTGCATATGCAGCTTCTAGAACCAACTTTTCAACAGCCACTTGATTCCCCCTGCAGTGAATGCTGTTTGTTCTTGTAGGGTTGCTTTGCTTTGTTTTGTTTTGCAAATATTTACCCTAGCACCTGACTTACAGAATACAAATATGTATCAAAAATTAAACATCCTTGGCACAACAGTCCCGTCCTGTGAAGAAGCTCCCATGTCCTCACAACTGTACAAAGATAAACAGAAAACGAAGTTCTGTTCTTCGGCTTGGCTAGCCAGGCCCTGCTTGCTCTGTGTGTGATCTCAGCCTCGCCATGGCTAACCCTGCAGAAGGCCTTCGCTGGCCTGTGTGGCCTTTGGTTTCTCACACAGAGGCTGGATACGTAAACAGAGGAACAATAGGAATTTTTGTCGTATAAAGCAATGCTCCACTTGGTCTGAAGTCATGGGAATCATCCATCACAGGCTGACATGTAAACTGTTGGCTCAGAGCTTCACACACACACACACACACACACACACACACACACACACACACACACACACCAGTGTGTTTGGAGCATTTTGAGAAGTTAGCACGGTGGGGCTGGGATCAGGACCACATCGGTCATTATTCCACAGAAGCACATCTCCAGGCTTTCTCTGGAACATCTGCTGTCCTACAAAGCTCAGGCTGTGCCCTGAGCACCACGTCATCATACCCTAGGGAGCAAAACTGCAGAGGGCACGCCGCACGCTGGGAAAACAAACAGAGGAGGGTCAGACGTCAGCCTGAAGCCTTCTGAACTGAACTGCAGCCGTGAATAGTTTATGGTACAGTGTCTTCCTTCTGCTCTGGGACCTCTCTGCCAGTTAGAATTGGCCACTTTCCTGTTTCAGCCTCCAACCCTATACCATGTTTTCTCGGTAGTTCTTCACATTAGTCTTTCTAATAAGTAAATACCACATTTTAGCTACTTAATTAATTAGCTTATTAAGTTGTCCCCAAACTCAGGCTTGGGGGGTGGTTTAGTTGGTTAAAAAAAAAAAAAGAAAGAAAAAACCAACAACCTTTGCCTTGCAAGCACGGGGGGGGGGGGGTGAGTTGACATCTCCAGCACCTGTATACAAGCCCGGCATGGCAACACACACCTGTAACCTACCTCTAAGACAAAGGCAGATGGGCTCCCAGAATTCACTGGCCAGCCAGTCTAGCTACAACCATAGGCTCCAAGGTTAGTGAGAAACCTGCTTCAAGTACTAAGAAAGGTAGAGAGGGCCAATGAAGACGCCAACGTTGACCTCTAACTTACACACACGCATGCACATGCCACGCTCACACACATAGGCCGTCACCTTCATGCTTTCATATGCTCATACATACAAACAGAAGTAAATAACATGCACACACATGCAAACCCTCACACTTCCCCTCATCCATGTGCACACAGAGAGGACAACACACACGCCTAAAGGCTGTTCTAGTAGAACATGGAGAAGACGCTGTCTCACCAGATGTAACTTCTCCAGCTCTGACAGCTGTGTTAGTAACTATGGGGGGAGCTGCTTGGGTCAAGGCCCCTCTGTCAGCTCTGGTTCTCATCCAGGGTGTCTTAAGGTTCACTAAATGTAATTTCAAAACCCAGCCCCTAATCACAGGGTTGAAAAAATAGGAGCATTTTAACTAGGGCCATTTTTTTTTATAAGGCAACTTCATTGTGGGAAGATTTCCTAAGAGGTAATAGACATTGTGGACTCAAAGGCTATTTATATATTGTTAGGCCTGAATTGTCTCTCTGTCGTTAAGAGAGAATTCTGAGCTTTGTTTCTTGAATTACTGAAGGAGAAACACAAGCAGGTGTTACTTCAGAAAGAACACTGAAAAAACAGGACTGTTCGATTAACTATTAGCTTTCAGCCTTTGTTGTCCTAGGAAGACCTCACATGCTGTAACATACATGGAAGCAGGAACACTCCTTTATGAATTGGAAAGGGATTGCCATCAGAGAATTTAATGACTAAGAATGCCGGGACTCTTAAAGCAGGATCTTGGGCTCAATCCTGCTGTAACTCCCTCACTAACAAATCCAGTCCA